GGCACAACTATCCACATCATATAAACACAAGGCGCAACTATCCACATCATATAACACAAGGCACACCTATCCTCATCATATAACATTAGGCTCAACTACGTACATCATATAACACAAGGCACAACTATCCACATCATATAACACCAGGCACACCTATCCTCATCATATAACATTAAGGCTCAACTACCACACATCATATAACACAAGGCACAACTATCCACGTCATCATATAACGCTGGGCACACCACTCCACAGCATTTTAACACTAGGGTAAGGCTATCCACATCATATAGCGGCTTGGCATACCTATCCACAGCGCATATAACGCAAGGCACACTATCCACACCATATAACACTGGGCACACCTATCCACGGCATATAACACTAGGCACATCTATCCCATCATCATAACACCAGGCACACCTCTCCACATCATATAACACCAGGCACAGCTATCCGGATCATATAACGCAAGGCACAACTATCCACATCATATAACACCAGGCGCAACTATCCACATCATATAACGCTAGGCACACCTATCCACGGTATATAACACTAGGCACACTATCCACATCATATAACACTGGGCACACCTATCCACGTCATCATATAACCAGGCACGGCTATCCGGATCATATAAAACCAGGCACAACTATCCCCATCATATAACACCAGGCACAGCTATCCACATCATATATAACACATGGCACGACTATCCACATCATATAACATTAGGCTCAACTACATACATCATATAACACTTTAGTCACACCTATCCACATCATATAACACCGGGCACACCTATCCACATCATATAACACCAGGCTTAACTACCCACACCATATAACGCCAGGGCTCAACTGGCCCACATCATATAACCTATCCACATTATGGCAAGGGCACAACTATCCACATCATATAACACCAGGCACAACTATCAACATCATATAACGCAAGGCACACCTGTCCACGGCATTTAACACGAGGCACAACTATCCACATCATATAACGCTAGGGCGCACCTATCCACGGTATAAAACACTGGACGCACCTATCCACATCATATAACACTAGGCTCACCTATCCACAGCATATAACACTATGCGCATCTATCGACATCATATAACACTAGGCACACCTATCCACATCATATAACACCAGGCACTGTATCCACATCATATAGAACACAAGGCTGGCTATCCACGTCATATAGCACTAGGTACACCTGTCCTCATCATATAGCAACAGGCACACCTATCCACACCACAGAACAACATGAAGGAGATTATACAGGCAATAACAAAATTCTACTTCACGGGAATAATTCCCCGTCATTTCATCCCACAACTAATTGAGTGCATACATGGAAAATGGTATTCATGATTCAGTCTGTTTTCTTATTAGGCAATGTTTTTACAACTATCGGGTAAGTGCTACTGCAACCCTACTGACCACATCATATAACACTAGTCACAACTACCCACACCATATAAAACCAGGGCACAGCTATCCAGATCATATAACATTAGGCACACCTATCCACACCATATAACACTAGGCACACCTATCCACAGTATATAACACTAGGCATCTATCCACATCATGTAACACAAGGCACAACTACCCACACCATATAACACAAGGCACAACTATCCCACGTCAAATAACAAGGCACAACTATCCACATCATATAACATAAAGACACAACTGTCCACACCATATAAGACTTGAGCATACATGGAAAATGGTATTAATGATTCAATCTGTTTTCTTATTAGGCAATGTTTTTACAATTATCGGCTAACTGCTACTGCAACTGTGAGATGTCACATAGGACATAAGCTTATACCTCATCTAATGCTGGGTTACCATATTATGTGCTTGTGCCACTCTTGAGAAGTGAGGATGACCAAGTGAAAATGGTCTTCTTTCAAGAAACAATTGGCAGAAATTCAAAATTTCTATGAAGAAGCTTAACCTCTGGACACAGCACAGACAAAGGAACTCTCCTCAAGTTCATTCCTGTCCAAGGCAGCTTCTTGCTATCGTCCAAAAACGATATTGCTATTATTCCAAGAACCCCAAAAAGCTGTTTCGACACTATACCCAGATTAATAAACTATTGAAATAATTTTTATAGCATGTTGATAATAATAATAACTATGATTGCCTCTGGACAATACTGACGGTCTTCAGGCTTCCCCATACACTCCCCGTGGCTACCTTTACTTGTACTGTTTCTTTTGACGACATTTGGAGCGTCCATTACAGTGTTTTATGCCCCGATTTCTCAGAAACAAACTTAAGTTTTTACTCAAATTTCAAACTGGAGTTTGACAATTTGAAACAGCTGAATTTTTAACTCCACTGCATTTTTAAAATAAAAAAACACAAACAACTTAAGTAATCTATCCATCAAACTCAAATTGTCTGTTAAATTTGAATTTAATATTGATTTCAGTTTATTCTTGGAAATGCATTTACCAGCGCTTTTTCAAATTTGAGTAAAAACTCTAACTTAAGTTAAAACTCAGACTTAAGTTTGTTTCGAGAAATCGGGGCCAGATGAATTTGGCATTGATTCTATGCCACTGACACAAACGAAAAGCAAAGGTATTACGGCCTGTTAAAGGGAACTATTTCTATTGGCATTGGAAAACCTGGAAGTGGGGATTGTTGCTAGATTGTACTGACGCTTCCTTCAGCTATCTAACTACTAACGAAATGCGAAAAGGCCTAATGTTCGTGTTTGGGCCGTGATTGTGACGTAATTATTGCCTTTTACATACAATCCTGTGAAGCACATATGTGCCTCATTCAATTACCTACAATTTGGTACCTTGAAAAATTAAATCCATTGTGTTTTCGAAGAGCTGTGACATTTTTATGAACCCTATGAAAATGCATTTTGACAAAATTGACCAACTTCCAAAGGCGATAACTCCACATTTCTTGAAGATATCGACATGCCTTTAGCAATCTTAAAGAGTCCCGGGTGCGGGCTTTACAACGATATATCACACACGATTGTACTATTTGCCCTTCAGAAGGAAGATTATGAAACACAGGCACCGTCAAAACGAGCGGAAATATGAAAATGTTTGTGTTTGTGACGTAAGTATTGATTATGACATAATAATAATGTGAAGCAAACATGTTCCCCTTTCAATTATCTACCGTTTGTTACCTTCAAAAAATTAAATCCATTGTGTTTTTGCAGAGTTGTGATAGCTTTATGAACATTATGAAAATGCGCCTTAGAAATATTCACCAAATTCAAAGGGCGATAACTCCAAAACCACTCAATATATTGACATACCTTGGGCTTTCTATGTAGTCCGGAGTGTGGACTTTACAACAATATATCAAACACTATTGTACTAATTGCCGTTGTGGAGAAGATGATTTTTAAACACAGGCACCGTAAAACGCAAAAATCGACAAAAAATTCAGCTTTTTCGAACTGGCGGAAAATCTATCAAGGCGGCCAACTTCTGATATGCGTTAAATCGAAGCAGAATGATGATGTCTACATTGAGTGAAAATTTGGTCAATTTATCTCTTATAGTTTTTGAGATACTAAGGTGTGAAGATTTTGACATTTTGGGCAGTCTGCCCTTACCGGAAGCCGGAAGTCGGGACTTCAATTTCAGCACACAGGTTATCATCCCTGAATGTTTCATGAAAATCGACCTAGTAGTTAGTTCAGGAGAGCTGTCTCAAACTTTGTACAAATAATAAAAAGAAGAAGAATATTCGGATAATAACAGTAAGTCTTTCAGACTTTCGTCTGAAGACCTAATGATAATTATTATGTGCTGGGCTGAAACAACCTCTAAAATGGGGTGAAACTGTAATGTGTGAAACAGCCAGGGTGAAACAGCCAGGGGTGAATGTGTGCTGGGGTGAACGTGTTTGGGGTGAAGTAAGCCGTTACCGTGTGGAGCAATCTAGAGATAATCCATCGTAATACATGACAATACACTTGTCAGGAATGTACTGCTCTCTAATGTAAGCAGTGGCAAGTAAGCTACTACACTAACGTGCCTTTGGAGCTCTGTTTGTTTCTGAACAACAGATACTAATCTGGCATAGTATGGAACAATCTGGAGGTCATTCTAACACAATTCTTATTCTGGACGCTCTCGTGTCACATTCCCCACAATGGGCACAATACGTGAAACCCATTTGTGGTGCTCCATTCCGTGATATTGCAAAAAGCGGCGTAAAGACCAATTCACTCACTCAATCACTCAAAACTGTGGACACCAGAGAGCAGAGCGACACAGATGTGAACCGACCGTAAAGAAATGATTCATTATTGCAGCAAACAGCATTACTGCTAATTATAAACTTTACAAACAGATTTGAAAAAGAATCAAGTTATGACTCAATGCTCAGTGTTGACTGACACGGTTATATTTGTTAAAGTATGAATCTACGCGTTTTCGTTTGTGTCATGGTGTATCACATCAACGCGGGACAAAAATCCCAGATTGAAGCAGCATAAAGAAGACTGTAATTTTGGTGAAACCCGAGAGTAGGATTAAGATGCCGACGATTCCAGTATCCGTATTATGATCTAAACAATAGGAAAGGCACACATTGGACCTCGATATTCATATCACGAGTTGAAGATTGCATATGCCTCGAAACAGTCTGTACTGCATACAGCGTATTGTACGAGGTAAATGTAAATATATGATACATGGCCACGCGACCCCTGTGATGCGTGTCACTGTCAGACCATGAGCTGACTAAGAACACTTTAACCCTAACCCTGCCATGTCGTTACTGCCTCGTACTCGACAGCTCACAGCCAGCACGTATCCAGTTAACCGCGTGGGGCTATTTTCATAACAATGTCGAAAGCAGGCCCGCATCTGTGAGTTTTGTCAGATGGCTGCATGACTTTGCAGCAACGGAAGAAGACATTCGACGTGAATGTGCATATAGAATACGGTCCTTCTGACTGGTATGGTCAGGAGGGATGGGATTGACGGTAATTGCAGGTAAGAGCCACCTCCTCAACAAATATAATCTTGCTTTACACAAACGTGATGGTTTGAAATGAAGACTCTATTGAGGTAGGGTATTGATTATCCTTTTCACGAGCTTCACGCCATAACAGTCACGGGTAAGTCAAATCCAGTAATACAGACGTGGTGTAGCCGTGAGTCAAATCACGTGTAGACGTGGTGTAGCCGAGAGTCAAATCACGTGTAGACGTGGTGTAGCCGTGAGTCAAATCACGTGTGGACGTGGTGTAGTCGTTAGTCAAATCACGTGTAGGCGTGGTGTAGCCTGAGTCAAATCAAATCGAGAGTCAAATCACGCCAGACGTGGTGTAGCCGTTAGTCAAATCACGTGTAGACGTGGTGTAGCCGTTAGTCAAATCACGTGTAGGCGTGGTGTAGCCATGAGTCAAATCACGTGTCGACGTGGTGTAGCCGAGAGTCAAATCACGTGTAGACGTGGTGTAGACCTGAGTCAAATCACGTGTAGACGTGGTGTAGCCGTGAGTCAAATCACGTGTAGACGTGGTGTAGACCTGAGTCAAATCACGTGTAGACGTGGTGTAGCCGTGAGTCAAATCACGTGTAGACGTGGTGTAGCCGTGAGTCAAATCACGTGTAGACGTGGTGTAGCCATGAGTCAAATCACGTGTAGACGTGGTGTAGCCGAGAGTCAAATCACGTGTAGACGTGGTGTAGCCGTGAGTCAAATCACGTGTGGACGTGGTGTAGACCTGAGTCAAATCACGTGTAGACGTGGTGTAGCCGTGAGTCAAATCACGTGTAGACGTGGTGTAGCCGTGAGTCAAATCACGTGTAGACGTGGTGTAGCCGTGAGTCAAAATCGTGTAGACGTGGTGTAGCCATGGAGTCAAATCACGTGTAGGCGTGGTGTAGCCGAGAGTCAAATCACGTGTAGACGTGGTGTAGCCGTGAGTCAAATCACGTGTGGACGTGGTGTAGACCTGAGTCAAATCGCGTGTAGACGTGGTGTAGACCTGAGTCAAATCACGTGTAGACGTGGTGTAGTCGTTAGTCAAATCAGTCGTAGCCGTGAGTCAAATCACGTAGGCGGTGGGTAGCCATGAGTCAAATCACGTGTAGACGTGGTGTAGCCGAGAGTCAAATCACGTGTAGACGTGGTGTAGCCATGAGTCAAATCACGTGTAGACGTGGTGTAGCCGAGAGTCAAATCACGTGTGGACGTGGTGTAGACCTGAGTCAAATCACGTGTAGACGTAGTGTAGCCGAGTCAAATCACGCACGTGGTGCTGCTGTTAGTCAAATCAAATCACGTGTAGACGTGGTGTTGCCGTTAGTCAAATCACGTGTAGACGTGGTGTAGCCATGAGTCAAATCACGTGTAGACGTGGTGTAGCCGAGAGTCAAATCACGTGTGGACGTGGTGTAGCCATGAGTCAACTCACGTGTGGACGTGGTGTAGCCGAGAGTCAAATCACGTGTGGACGTGGTGTAGACCTGAGTCAAATCACGTGTAGACGTGGTTTAGCCGTGAGTCAAATCACGTGTGGACGTGGTGTAGCCGTGAGTCAAATCACGTGTAGACGTTGTGTAGCCGTGAGTCAAATCACGTGTAGGCGTGGTGTAGCCGTGGTGTACACAGTATGTACGGACAGATCAGCGTTGCGTAACACTCATGTCTCTACAATCTCTGTCTTGCAGATTGGTCGTGTTCAGTACAAGACGTGGAGACAGGGTCAGACTGTATCGAAATACAAATGAACAAATATACTACCGATCAAAATGTTAATGACTGAGTTGAGTTTAGTTTTACGCCGCACTCAGCAATATTCCAGCTATATGGCGGCGGTGTGCAAATAATCGAGTCTGGACGTGACAATCCTGTGATCAACAGCATGAGCATCGACCTGCGCAATTGGGAACCGATGACATGTGTCAACAAGGGTGCCGTTGTACACAGCAACCTTAGCGCTACATAGTCATGCTAGGTTTATTTACATTCAACAATTTGCTGATACACAAACGACATTTGGAATGTTCGCATTAATAAAAACTGAATTTTCAAAATGCATAAATAATTAGAAGCAATAAGGGAATAAATAGCAGTGACTATGGAATGTTTTCCCAAACTCATCAATGTAGATGAATCCATATTATTTGGTTTTCCAATTTGAGAAATGTTAACTCTTTCCCCAAGAGAGGAAGAACTTTCTGCTTCTTCTTCTCCGGCCAGTCAATCGTTGTCAGGACCTTCTTCCTGCTTTCCAGCTTCTGAAAGTTAGAAAACAATAAACAATCAGTACAAACAAGCATTCGTCAACAATATCGCTAGCTGGAGAAAGGAAAACTGTCCAATGTTCCTTAAGCTTGAGGAAAAATAAACTATAACCACTGTCCAATAAGCACGAAGTTCAATAAATCAAAACTGATCATTTGACCTGAAAAGTGATACAACTTTCAATCGCAGAAGAACTTAGTGAAATTTGTAAGAGTAGAGAGACAAGCGAGAGGAGGACATATTTCCTTAGTTTGGGTCGGACATTTGATGACTGACAAAATAAGATTTTCTTTCACTAAATAACAGTTGTGACTTACAGAAAACATTGACATTGAATTAATAACATCTCTTAGGAATGCACACTAAATTCATACTAACATTGTCTATTTTTCCGAGAAATTCTCAGGTGAAAGCTATAACTTATTTTCTGAATGTTACATACATTATGCCTTGATACTATATGTATAGAACTACGAATTATCCATTATTTTGAAAATAATGTGAACAGACATTTTGGGGTTTAAAATATAATGTGGGGTCATTCTGGCAGACAAGAAATTGAATGGGGTCATAGGCGGACCTCAATAACTAATATCGCATACTGCTATTGACAATGTGTTTGCAGCTACTATTTAGTGGGGTGTTGTTAATAAATTGTTAAGTGATGTGTGCAAGGTGAAATATGTCCAGACCAAAACATAATGTACATTGGCGCTTTACTATGTACTATTTAAAACTCTTTAGCTGCATATTTCTAAGTATACATTGCGCGTATTAAAAAGTGTTTATTTTGAAAGTTCTTTTGAATAGCAGTGTACATTTTCAAGAAATTACATTAACTTAATTTTTTTTTCAAATAAGTTTTTCCTTAAATTTTAACCTGTGTAACGTTAGAATTGAGAACCATTTGAATTTACTTACACATCTGAATCTTTTATTGTTCTTTGCGGACAAAGGCCTCTGCTTTTCCCACTTCTTTGTCTTCTAGGTGAACGAACCCTCTTGTTCATCCAAAAAGCCAAACTGCTGCTGAAAGGAGATGTGTATAAGTGGAAAATATGTCCAGTTTAAAGTTACGAAAATAGTGGTTGTGTAATTTTTATGTATTTTCTGATTCATAGGATTTACATTATTTGGATAATTTTATGTACATCATTTACTGAAGGGTTTGGATTACACATACCTGTTGAAGGTCAAGATCAGTTAGTCATCTTCATTTTTCCAACACTGCCCCAATGGAATGCTGGAAATATAGAAATTAAGGGAAATCAGGAACTTTCTGAGTGATATTGTACTCTTGATAACAATAAGGCATGAAAGTAGACAAATATATATCAATTTTCAAGGTGTAGATATGCTAATATCAAAAGAAGTTCACATAACAAGTTCATATAATTGTAGGTTGGCAATGTACATCAATGTATCCCCAACATATCCTATTAAACGTTCTATATGTCCAACTTTCTTTATAAACTTCTTTGTGGATCTAACAAAATCCACATCTCTTCATTCAGAGTTGACATTCTAAGTGTAAAATTGTTTACATCAGATGATTGACTTAGTTAACTCATACACCAGTAATCTATCCTATACCTTTTAAAAACAGTTTCAAAAATATTCTGTTGACAATTTATCCACTCAACAGCATTATAGTATCATGATAGATATCGTCGTAAAAGTTGGCTGAAAAATATTGTCGATTTTTTGGGTCATAGGCTGTCTTGTAACTCTTATAACTAGACAAAGAATTTTGAAACTTCACTCTAACCATGCACCAAATCTGGTCAGAGAATTCCTATAAATGCAAAATGACTCACTATGTCGTATGTGACCTGATCCAAATCACAATCGAGTTCTTGAGTTGACTAAGTAAAGGAAGCCATATCTCTTGCCAACTTTTCGACACGCAATTGCTTATCGAGTTCCATCAAGTCTAAAATTGTAATTTCAAATTTATTGTCCTAGCTACTTATGTACATTAAACGTTACACATAACATGAGCTATTGCTTAATTCAAGAAATTTACACTGTACCTGACATGGTGGTGGAATGTTCCCTTTCTCCCTCCGCGATCGACGACTGCTCCTGTCTTCAAGTTTTCACGTACCCGAGCCTCCAAAGCTTCTAGTGTAACTCGCATTGCCATTTTCTTGATTCAGATAACATGGACAAGCGCAGGAATAATTCATTGTGCTGGGTTCCTTGTTGTGTTAATAACGGGAGACACTTTGGCCCACTTTCAAAACAACTTCTCATGAGATCAAGCAACAAAATGGCGGCAATTGTGTGTAGGGGCATTGTGGGTAATAACAAATACCTAATCCCTTTTCGATTGGCAGGTATGAAAACATTATCTGACCCAATTTGGTTGTGATTTCAAGACATAAAAGACGAAAATGACCACTTCATTACATAAAACCATTGCTTTTATAAAATATCACGAGTTCGCGCGTGCCAACGGATTACCGACTCATTACTTCTACAGCAATTTAATTTTGATAATAGGTGCCCGTTAAAACGAGACAGCCCCAAGGAAGCCGACACACAGATCCGCCGACATACAAATGACTGACATGACACTGATTGTTTGTCAAGTACGTGAACTCACTGTCAAAGCCTACTAACTTTAAATGCTTTTAATGGTAAACATTACTCACAACCTCTATTCATAGTACAATTCCCTGATATTCTAGTTATTGAGAAATCCGTAATGTATGTACCGGATTGACAATTGTTTGAATTACATTATTCTAAACTTCCTAAATGCTTATACTCTTTCACATTCTAAAGCAAACATAATTAAACCGATTTTTCCCTCAAATTTCACTTTTTCACGTTTAAGATTTTTCATTACTACAGTGAAAATTGTTACTCATCGTAGAATATCATCCATCTATTTAGATTTTCAAACTTCCCCATCATATGAATTCCCAGGATGGTCAACTTCATGCCAAATACTTGCAAATTTGAAGTTATTCAGTTCAAAACAGTGCACAGGAAACCAACATGAAACTACATATTCTGGTTTTATGTTGGTTTCCATTTAACGAAACTTCAATTGCAAATTCCAGGAATGGAAACCAACAAGAAGCCTCTAACCTAAGTTTCTTGTTGGTTTCCATTTACAGAAATGCAAAAATCAAAGAATCCAAAATGGAATTTAGTTGGAAACTCAGTTACTCAGTTACAGTGAATGGAAACCAACTGGATTCCCAAATTACCCAGTATACGGATGGTTTCCAAGTTTTAGGAAACCAAGTCATTTTTTGTAGTGACAGTGATTGTCACCATGCCATACGATGACAGAGCATGTGTTTATGAATAACTGTGAAATAGTGATGATTCCAAGTGTTCGCACAGAGGTGAGCGTATCCTGCGCCACCGGTAGCACCTGTCATAAACATATGTCTAGTCACTTGTTCCCCTGAAATAATTCGGGAACGTATGGTATAAAGGAAAATAGGGCAATACATCGAACATCATTTTTGTCACTGATGCATCAAATTTGTAAATTTACTCCACATGTCTACCATAAATATTCTTGAAAGATTTCCTGAGGCTTTGAATGTTGTATCCTATATCAAACAACTTCATAAAAATAAACGTAAGCCGAACGTGTTGGAATATTGCTCGACATGAAAGGGAGGTGGACTATTGGAAAGTTGAAATCATCCCTTTAGTCATACAGCCTAGTGGAGAGGGTTTTTTGTCACTCTGAATCACTCTGCATAGATGTAAATATGAAACAGCTGAGTCGGTCTCTCACACAAAGACTGACTGAGTTTAGTTTTACGCCGCTTTTAGCAATATTCCAGCAATATCACGGCGAGAGACACCAGAAATGGGCTTCAAACATTGTGCCCATGTAGGGAATCGAACCTGGGTCTTCGGCGTGACGAGCCAACGGTTTAACCACTAGGCTACCCCACCGGCCTCTCCCTCAATAGCCATCAAACGATTCTGAAGCTGACAAGCATGCGTTTATAGGACATCATGAAATATCGGTGATGTTAAGTGTTTTAAGAAAAATGAGCCTGTGCTACCAGGTACTGACTCTTGCAAATGTAAGTGAGTGAGTTAATATTTAACGTCACATCGGCACCTTGCAAACGTAAGCCGAACGTTGCTTTAAGTGCAATAACACTGATTTGAGAAAAATTGGAGCATTCGCCACATGACGCCCTCTTCAGTAATCATATCATAAGGCTCCGTTTGATAAAACCTCATTATAATGTAGACGACAAGGGCTGGAGCTGACTACATATTTCCTCTGCCAAAGCTGAAGTGATCCTTTGCCTTCCAGTTTATGGATGGATTTTTTAAATAGATATTTTAAATTATTTTGCTTTGATTCAGACGACTTAGGTATCTTATACTGCTAGATTAGTGGGCTGTATCAGTGGAAGCTACTGATACACGTGCACACGATATAGTCGAAATTGTACAATCGCTTTCTTCTTGATTTTAAAAGCATGTGGACGTTTCCATTCCAAATATACCTCGTATATGCATTTCCGTACAACTGCCCAATTTCGAATTTACTGTTATGTCCAGTTTTCAATTGCATATATTTGCGTTCACAGCACAAGGAAAAAAATCACCCGAATTATTCATATTGGATATTGAGTTAACAAGGAGCAAGTTTAGCATTATCGCAGACTTTCAGAGCGAACCAGAAGCAGAACCCACATGACCTATGAATAAATGCAATCCATACTTGGCTACCCCACAATATCACAATATAGATAAAATAAATTTATGATGAAGCCTGAATCAGTATTTAATCAAGGTAAGCAGTAAAATAATCACGTGCATTTTTTTTAGGATCTACCTGAATACCAGCTGCAACCAATAAACTCTTTCGCTGGGGCTGGAAAACATATTTAAAGTCATGGTTGAGACCAAGAGCATCACTTCCATGCTTGCTGTAGATTTTGTTGGGACATCTCATCAACAAACATGAAGCTGTTTCTCCTGATGGTTCTTGGTATGTATAGTTACACTTGTGTTTACACCAACACAGTATAATGACGAGACTATAAGAACTGGTACAATGTACATTTGCTTTGATGTGTTTATGATCTGGTATGTCATGATAGAAAATGGTTCCAGGGTTCTGAAAAATCGAGATACCAAATTTAACATTCGGTTCAAAGTCAAATCTACAGTTCACAGAGACCACCATTACTCATGATACCGCTGCAAACGCCCTTCAGAAAAGCATTTTCTGTTCCACACTAACATAGTCATAATAGATAAAGGTAACAGGGTTCTGTAAGATTTAGACACTTAATTTAACATTCAGTCCAAAGTCAAATCTACACAGACTACCCACCATTAACCATGATACCGCTGCAAATGCCCTACAGACTGACATTCTCTCTTCACACTAACATAGTGATATACCATGCCGCAGCGCAAAAAGGATATCCTAATCTGACACATTGTACCGACTCCAATGCATCCAGTCTCTAGTACATCACGTAAGTGCCGAGCACCAGGCAGAGCAAAACCACGTACCGTATCTTGTCCTACACACTTTACATGTTTCGTCGATCACTCGTGTAAGAGCCTGCAGCTTCATTTGAACTTCATCCTCTATTCGTGGCTTAATATAACTAAATTCACAAGCTCAATGTGAGAAGACATAGAAGACTTTTATCTTTTGTTGCTTAATTTTAATTCATTTAAAGAACCATGTAGATCCGAAGATCCATATGCAAGTGTTATACAATGCGATTCAATTATCTGAATGTAAAGCCCAAGGATCTGTATCAATGATAACAAACCTGGACTTCCTGCTTACACTCGGACAGATACTATTGTGTGTTTTGGATGTGATCGTACTGGCTACAGTGTTACACGTATGCTTTGATAGGATATCAGAGTTGAATTTCACTTTAGGCGTACTTTGTTCTTTTTCAGCAACTCTGTTGACTGCAGAATGTGTTGTTGCAGAACGACAACAAATGAAGCTGTCCCGAACCAGTAAGTCGAAGACAAATGTTGAATGTGTTACGTGTCTATTCCAAAGTTAAACCAATACGTTAACCCAGAGTCTTGGTGTACAGGAAATTCGATGTAAATCCGACGGAGAAAGAAATGTTGTACAATCAGCAATTACATAAACATAAGGAAGTTTACAACGCACGACGTCTCACTGCAATAGCTGCTCAAAATAGAGTAGTTGTACAAGTTTAGAGGCTGTACAAGTACAATATTGCGGACAGCAATGAAGGACAGTGATACTAACCTCGCGCCTACAGTTGTCAAGCTCATGTTTTGTATTGTCTTGCCATAATGACTTCAGGTACAAAGCAATAGAGAGAGTCTATTTGCACTCAAAACATGTCTTGGGGCCGGATTTGAGAGTCGGAATACGGGATAGAGGGATGTCGGATTAGAGGGAGTTTCTTATATTATATTATATAGGGACCATATATATATGTCAGTTTACAGGGAATGTCCGATTAGAGAGATGTCGGTTTAGAGAGAGTCCACTGTACTTCTAAAATAGTCACAAAAGCATGCTTTCTTTGTATGTCAACTTCCTACTAAATCAAAATCCTGTACATTCAGAATCAAATGACAGTGTCATAGAACACTTTGTAAACCTCTTTTAATCGCTCTTAATATCAGTAATTAGTCCAATGTATATCAAAACTGAATTGATCGTTAAAATAATGTGTGAATATGTTAATTTAAAGTATTTGACATGCATGTTGAATACTTTGTATACTTATTTAACCTGTGATATTGTATGTACATGGTAACATATTCCAATGGAATTTACTTCATATACTGTGATTAATATAGTGGAATGTGAATTCCGTTGAAACATGATAAGTAATCAGGAAAGGGACCGTTCAGTTGTCTAACAAATTATGTCATGTTTCTATTTTCCTTTTCATACACAGTGAGAGCACGGTTCACAAGATCAATATCAGAATATCGTCTTCGGTCTGGTGCCTCAAAACGTCTGAGAATGCGAAGTGTATGAAGTTCTGGCACTGAATGATGGAGTGGAGAGGATTCTAATGTGCATCAAAACAAAATGAGCAATAAATCAGTTTTGTTCTGCAACACTAGTTCTGATACATATGTTACTTGTCAGTTTCCTACATTATATGTAAGTTGTGTTCAATTCTGTAGGCAAAGGGGCGGTGGGGTAGCCTAGTGGTTAAAGCGTTGGCTCGTCACGCCGAAGACCCGGGTTCGATTCCCCACATGGGCACAATGTGTGAAGCCCATTTCTGGTGTCCCCCGCCGTAATATTGCTGGAATATTGCTAAAAGCGGCGTAAAACTAAACTCAGTCAGTCAGTCTGTAGGCAAAAGAATCGCTGTGAAACCAATGAGGACAAAGAATTGTTATACAATTAGCAATTGCATTATAAAATAAACTAAGTTTACAAATCAATCCAAACTGCTACAAAGCAAAAACAAAAGCATTACAAATAGGTGAAGTGAGGTGAGATGAGGTGAAATTGGGTTTAGCGTCGTACTTAAGAGTATTTTGCTCATATGACGATATGTATGGGTATGTATGTGTGGCTGCTTGTACTAGCCCTGGCTTAACCTTCCGCTCTCCGAGAGGACGCTCTAACCACTACACCACGGAGGCAGTCTATTACAACAAGGAGCGTCAGTACAAATTCATTGAGAGAAACATGCACTGGCTTTGTGACATACTGTAGCATTAACTATTTAATTAATTGTGGTCTGTGAAAATGGTTGTATTAGCTTTTGTTCTGTTTTCACAGACTCGTGAACCAGGCTTCATTTACTCAGAGCTTCTATTCTGTAATGGATTACAACTTCTTGTTTATTGCATAGAAAGACGTTTCGGTGTAGATTCTTACACAGGTATCAAGATAAGTGTGTTAACCATCAAGTTGTATGCTTCATTATTGACTCACCCACTTCTTCAATGTTGATAAAACAATTTTATGTTGTAGGCATAAAACCCCGAAGTGTCGATGCCGCACGCAATGACAGCTGGTTAATATGCACGCGCATCTTCTGATCTAAACTAGTACCAACTCTGCCTCTCTTCAAAAACAGATTCCAAACACCCCTCTGTCAACGTTATTTTTAATAAATTCTTGTATTTTATCTTCAGCGCTTAGATTTTTGTCCTTGTGTGGTGGAATTCGGCGCTATACAAATACTCTTATTAAATGTTAATTTACGTTTCATTCAGTCAGGCATGTTGAGCACATGGTATGTTAGAATATTCTATTATACATTACTAATAATTCTAAAAATACTAATAATAACATTTGTAAAGATAACGAGTTTCATCAACAGTGTGTAATGTAGTGAATGTGTACTGCAGCTGGTGTCAACCTCGCAGCTCTAGGCACAGTAAACAAATAACAATTGTAGAATAACCTGGAATGAGTCTGACTCATATAACGGTGTGTGTCACGGGCATGTGTGTCAAATATGTGCCTGTACCAGATGTTGTCATACAAACACAACGTGAAAAGGCAAGGTAAGCTCTCAAAATTCCGCAATTTAGGTTACTGCATGACCGTCATACGTTTCTTTTATGACCATTTTGAGTCGAACAAAACTGAATAGCCTGTAATCACACCAACATGATTGACCATATCTTGATCCGATATTGTCATTTATATCAGTGAGTGGCATGATGTTAGAAACATAAGACAAATGATTGATAACCACTTACACTTTATATCTGATAGATCCATGTCGCAAAGCTGCACAATGGCGGTTGTTGTATGAATATTGCGGATGGTTATATAACTCATGGCAGAGTGAGTGAGTGAGTTTAGTTTTACGCAATATCACGGCAGAGGACACCAGAAATCGGCTTTACACACTGTACCCATGTGGGGAATCGAACCCGGGTCTTCAGCGTGAAGAGCGGACGCTTTCACTAGGCTACCTCACCGCCCCTTCATGGCAGACGGAAACGGAAAACTCCAGATGTGTTTCACCCGAGCCAGAACTGATTTACACTATTTTGATTTCGAAGAATTATATTGCTAGATGCCAAGTACTCTAGGATAAAGATATTTTTATTCAATGAATTATAGATATTTTTCTGATTGTATGCACCGACCTAATATTCATTGATTCATCTGTTAGTACCTGAACTCAGGTCACAACCCAATATTGCACACATGCTTACCATTAACGTGGAGATTTGCTGAAGGCATTTAATCTGTTTGCACAGCCTCATAGACAGCACAGCCACCCTGAAGTGTGGCTGAATACCGCCACTGATACAAGTCAACACTGTACAACAGGAGAAGTTGTTAGAGATTGTCCAGCTAGGTGAACGTTGATACTTAGACATTGACCCATCAGAGGTCACATGCAGGTTACTCACGGGTGTAAGTATAGGTCATCAAAAGGTCACGCCCCAAAATGTTTCAATACAAACATACTGTGAAAAATCAGGGTAAGCCCTCATAATTCCGCAATATAGTTTTCTGCATGACCATCATATGTTTCTGGTGTGGCCAACATAGTTTGCTTGTATGACCAACATACCTTGCTGGTGTGACGATTATATAGGTAGCTGGTATGACAAGGAAAGGCTGATGACATGATCTTGATAAGGTGCTGGTATGACCAACATGGGTTGCCGACATGATCGTGATAAGTTGCTGGTACGACCAATATGGGTTGCTGACATGATCGTGATAAGTTGCTGGTATGACCAACATGGGTTGCTGACATGATCGTGATAAGTTGCTGGTATGACCAACATGGGTAGCTGACATGATCGTGATAAGTTGCTGGTATGACCAACATGGGTAGCCGACATAATCGTGATAAGTTATTAGTATGACCAACATGGGTAGCCGACATGATCGTGATAAGTTATTAGTATGACCAACATGGGTTGCTGACATGATCGTGAAAAGTTGCTGGTATGACCAACATGGGTAGCCGACATGATCGTGATAAGTTATTAGTATGACCAACATGGGTAGCCGACATGATCGTGATAAGTTATTAGTATGACCAACATGGGTTGCTGACATGATCGTGAAAAGTTGCTGGTACGACCAACATGGGTTGCTAGCATGATTGTGATAACTTGCTGGTATGATCAACATGGGTTGCTGACATGATCGTGATACGTTGCTGGTATGATCAACATGGGCTGCTCACATGATAGTGATAACTTGCTGGTATGATCAACATTGCTTGCTGACATGATCGCGGTGGGCAAGAGATGTGATCAACATACTATTAGGTTGCTGGCATGCCCATCATAAGTTGCTGGTATGACCATCATAATTATCTGGTAGGAACCAGATGGTATAGGTCTCCAATTCACTACCCTTCATTGTGATGATAGGATTCCCTGATAGAGCTGGTCGAGCTGAACCAATGCTCGTCGTCGAACATGTATTTGATGGACAGGTTAATGAGTTGAGTATGTTTCAGGCAGGGAGAGTTATTGCTTATAGTAAGGTCTTTTGTTATTCAACAATTACTGCGCGTGACTAATGAGAATAATACATCACCTGTTGTTTTGCTATGAAATGGTGCTGCGGTCGAACAGTATTGTTAAGGATTTATGAACACGATTAATATAAATGAAATATTTTCTGTGTAAGCTGTTACATGTAGTTCGGATGAAAATCTGTGGGTTATGTTATATTCACGTACAGTTGCATTTCCAATTAGTGCTACTGGTACAACGGTGAATATCTACCATGTCAGGTAAACTGAGAACCACTGCCCTCGTAAAAAATATATTCGATACATACTTTGCTAAAAATAGTCCATGTACCATACGCATTTCTCCACGTATAATGCAGACTCCACGCACCCAAACATTCTGATTATTATTACCCCGGATAACCCAAGCTGCCTGTTAGGCGCTAGAAGGTTATAATCACATGACTTATCACACCGGGTACCCATTTTCTGCTGGATGAACAGAAGCAATTTTGAACAAACTCACTTGCCTACGGTGAGACCACAAGCATCACATGTGCTTCGTTGTGGGGCAGGATCGAATACCTCGAAACTTTCAGGAGTCAAGCTGCCAAACACGGTCACCCTAACAAGGACTCTCCGCGCCCATCGTTGCTTAACATCACCTAATTTGTGACCTGAGCGCTATGCACAGGACCACACAGCACCAATTACTCCCGACACATACTCAAGACATGTACCCCGACACATATTCCCGACACATACCTCCGACACATACTCCCGACACATACTCAAGATATGTACCCCGACACATACTGCCGACATATACCTCCGACAAGCAAAGCCACGGATGTAACGAGATGGTGAGTTGCGATTAAGGAGTAATATGCTCCGAAACGTGATGTTCCCCGATATCACAGGCGTTGACAGCCATAGAGTTTCCTCATTCAAAGACCTTACGGTGTAGTTGTATTTTTTAAATAGATAGTGATAGATTGGCTTTTGTGGTCATAGTTGAACTGCAGGACATGTAGACATATCATCAGTTATGCATATCAACTGCTGGAATTTATGTATATAGAATATGTAAGTATGTATGTGTATACCATTCCGTGCTTTGTCTAGGGGCCGACGTAAAAAATGTGAAAAACGTATAACACAAAAATCACGAACAGAGCGTTACGTAATCACAGCGATCACACGTGTCCTGGAATGCAAGAACACATGCATTGCTGAATAGGTAAGCGTATCAAAACAGCAAGTTTAATAAGAAAAGTGAGTATACACAAAGACTGTCGCAATGGCGGTATTCATTATTTAAATGCATAATGCATGGCCTTCATGTGAACCAAAATCCAGAGGCCCAATATAAGGCACAATAACAAACGCTATCATTTACACCATTCATATGGATCTAAACGTTTTCCGTTGTATTTTAATAGACGTTCACAACATTTCCGCTAAAACCTACCATTAAAAAGATGGAATATATTGGACATAATGGGCGATTATCAACACATGTGCTAAAATAATGATGTTAACGATATTTATTTGTTCCGTTCCATGTATTGTGTGTACAATTTCGTGACAATATCGACCTGACATGCAACATCAACGTTCATGTCGGTGTAGAAAAGGGTGTGTTATCGTTTATAT